AACATGCTGGGAGCCAAGAATTAAAAAGACCAAGGAATCCTATTTCACTTACTTCTGGGCATTCTATTTGTTCGCCCCACAAATACTCACTGCTACCAGTAACTGGTCTAGTGAAATGACAGCATGGTTCATGTCTGAAGAAATTTTATAGAAGGAAACCTTAAAAGGGGGGTAATGATGCATTTTTTTTCTTGAAAATTAAAAAAATGATCATTTGATTTGGGTGGCATCACACTGGCTATTCAGAAAAAATTAAATTTTACTTAATTAAAATTAAAGATTAATCTTCTAAGACATTAAGCCACAAAATGCTATTTAACTCACAAACTTATCTTTGACCTCATTAATAGAGGCTATACGCTTTCTACTCTAATTATTCCCACATCCTGCTCTTCATATCCACTGGAAAAAAAGGAATCCAAAACCTGACTCTGGAACAAACAGAACTTCTAGAGTCAGAGAATATCTCAAATGTTTTTCTAATTCAATCTCTTTCTTTTAAATGTGAAATACTGGGGAGAGCAAGAGTAGGTGATATGCAAGTGTGTCTTATGCAAGCTGGTGGCAAAACTATTGTTGGAACCAATACTTGGTTCTCAAGTCTAATTATATTGTTACGAAATATGAGTTATAAAGAAAAAGTAAATTACATCCTAGGAGTTATCAAGTTTATAGATTTAGCAGCTCAGACAAGAATTTAGCACAGCTCTTGTTTTCATGATGAATACAATGCTTTGAAAGATAATATTCAACCATTCCAGCAAATACTAAAACAAAAATTTTACATTTGGGCCAGTAATATTGTCTGTTCTATATTCAATACACCAATAGTTGGAAATTGATTAATTTTGATGAAACACTTGGTTGGGAGCAGGGTGCAGATGATAATTCAAGGGAACAGACTGGGCACAGTTTGGGAACCAACTTGATTATGGAGGCAATAAGGCTATCCAAATATTTGTTCCTTGTCCCATCTGTCTCCCTATGCAGCACATTGCAAATGAGAGGGAGAAGGCCAAGTTCACATACCCAGTATCGCATATTTTATTTAGTTATAACCATTGCTATCATACTGAGTATATAACAGATTACCACTAATCTGATAAAATTGTGACACATTAGGATGAATGCTGTTTTAGTGTTATAGAGTTTATAAGATGCTCTACATGTGTTCCAACTGAACCTCATCAAACGTCATGAGCAGATGTGGTAGATTGATCGCATAAATAGCCTAAATTCTTTATCTCTCCATGCATCCATGCCCCTTCACCGTGTGACTTTGCAATTCTCACTAATGAGGTTGAGTCTGTTTCCTAGAACTTGAATTGTGCAATTCTCACTGTAATTCACATAGTGTGTTTTTTGGCCAATAACATGTTAACTGATGTGATGCATACAGAATCTTGCATGCATCTTCTATTGCTCTTTGCCGTGGCCACAGTTAATACACCAGGCTAGCCTCTGGAGCGAGAGTCAGCAAACTTTTTCTGTAAAAGACCAGAGCGTAATTTTTTTTGGTTTTGTGGGCCAGGTGATCTCTATTGCCAATTCTTCAACTACTCAACTCTGCCACTGTGACACAAAAGTAGCCACAGAAAATATGAAAATCAATGAGCACAACTGTATTCCGATAAAATGTTATAAAACCAGCCCATGGGCTGGATTTGGCTGAAGAGCCATGGTTTGCTGACCCCTGTATTAGAGGATGAGCCACATGGAATAGAGATGAGTTGCCCCAGTAATCCTAGTGGAGATCATTTGGAATTAGCCAAGCTGCAGCCAATTCCCAGATACATAAGACAACCAGACACACATCCAGCAGCACTGCCTGGCCAATGTGTAGCTTACGGCAGACACATGAGCAAACCCAGCCAACATGAGCTCAACCCTGCGGAATCATTCGCAAAGCCACTGAGTCATGGGTGATTTGTTACACAGAATTATTGTGGCAGAGGATTATTCATACAGTAGGTGAAGTATTAATTTGGCCATTTTAGAATTAAAGATGGGGCTTAAGGAGGTTAAATACCGTGGTCATTATCTCAGGCAGCCAGAAAGTGTCAGAGCCAAGACTCAGATATAGGTGTTTTCAAATCCAGTGTTGTATTCACTATACAATCCTTTACTTTTCTTTCTCTGTTTGTTTACATGGAGATAAATATATTGATATGTACAATTTAAGCTAAAAAATAAGAACTTCAGGCAGCTTCTAACTCTTCACTGTTTCCCCTTTTAGCTTTGAGTTATTAAAAATCATGTCACTCTGGCTTAAAGTTTGGATTATATTCCTTAGACTGCTAATGTGCATCTCTTCGTGGTGTATCATAGTCTATATTGTCCTGGTTCATATTTTCCAAAACCCCAGTAAAAGGAAATAACTTAAATGGCCTACTCTTGCACATAGCTCCTATTTCTCCATTTTACTGCTCCCATTTTATGCAGGGCTGTCAGGCCTTTCTGAATTAAATGTGACTTAGGGCCTGCGCGTGCTGACTGAGGGGGCTCATAGGTTCTATTGCTCATCCGCGATCTTGTACTTGAGCTGTCAAGTGTGAGAGATTGGTGCCAAATTCAACCCAACACAGCCCCTTCCCAGAAGTCTGCCTTTGACAACTCCTCCTTGTCAAATCCAACAGTTTACATAGGATATATAGTGAATAAAGTACTCTGGAAGATACGAATGTAGAGGTGCTGCTTCTGCTGATAGCAGGAACACCTATCAGCTTCCCACAGGGCTGACATTTCAGGCTGGCAGGGGGGAGATGATCATGGGATTTTTGTGCCGCTGTTTCTAAATGGATTGTAGAGACACCCAAGGCAAACTCCCTCACGTCTCACCATCTGCCTCCAAGAAGAGTCAGTGTGATGCAACTATGCAACTCAAAAAAAAAAAAAAAAAAAAAAAACTTTTTTTTTTTTTTTTGTATTTATAAAGTAGACTCTTCAGGTGAATGGCTTATACAACACATGCAGGAATCCCAAGGCTTGAGTCTCTCTGACTTAAAGTTTAATGCTTTAGGCACCAGAAACTCCATGCCCTTCTCCACACTGCCCAGGGAAATATCTGACCACAGAATCATTGAATGTGAGAGCAGGAGGGTAGCTGTTAGCAGTGTGTGGGTGCTTCTGGAGGTTCCCCTAATTACTAGGAACCAAAAGTTGTACAATTCCTTTTTGATGGTTAATCTCCTAGGACCATAGCACAGCTATAACTCATTAGCTTCCAGGTCATTAAGACACAAGAAGTAGGGGATCTCTGGGTGGCTCAGCGGTTTAGCGCCTGCCTTCGGCCCAGGGCGTGATCCTGGAGTCCCAGGATCGACTCTCACGTCAGGCTCCCTGCATGAAGCCTCCCTCTGTATGTGTCTCTGCCTCTCTCTCTCTCTCTCTCTCTCTCTCTCTCTCTCTCTGTGTGTGTGTCTCTCATAAATAAATAAATAAAATATTTTTAAAAAAAGATACAAGAAGTAGACTCTCAGTCAGAAGAGAGATCAGATAGCTAAGAAAATGGGGAAAAAATAATATACAAAGATACATGTTGAGTGTGTCTGCCTAAGCATCCACATTGGTTAGAGGTTTGCATCATCAGATGTGGTCTTGCTAGTGCCACCTCCAAGGCTGTTCCAAGTGTGGAAATGAGTGTGGCATGCTGTAGCCAATGGACTATGAGTATTTTTAATCCCATTTATGAGATCATCTCTATTTTGAAGTGGAGGTATCAGATTATTTCAGTCTTATGCCATCAAACATCTGATTCATTGAACTGTCTTTGGTCTAACCCGTGCCCACCAAGTATACATTTTTGCCACACAAGCCCAACCTGCAGCGTGGAGAGCCCTGGGTCCTAGAGTAACTTTAGTACCTTTGGCAGGGCTCTCTCAGAGAACATCAACAGAAGCTTTCTGATCATGATTTCAGCTTCCAAGTCACCTTGACCATGGAGGCAGAATGGATTAACCCCTGGGATTCAGACCACCACCAGACTATGGGACAGTTACAAGACCAAGTTTTGATGAATTCCCTACCATTCCAATTCAACTTTATTTATATTTTGGATCTTATGACTCTATCCCTCAGGACCTTATGGCACTTATACCCTGAAAGAGTAAATCTGTATGCCTTCAAAACAGAGGGACTTACTCATTTGGCATTGACTAGATAAGTTTTCTTAATCTTTTTTTAAAGTACTAAGGCCTTTGATACACATTGACCTCTCATATCCCACCACCACGTTTCAACATGCACAAGCCAAATAAGTATTTCTTGTAAAAAGATGTCCCCACCTGTTCAGAAGACTCTATGGAATATCATGTGATAAAGCAGTAGGGCTTGTGTCCTAAATAATATAGACTCCACATATATACACATCTGTGTGTATAAACGCTAGATGTAGAGATTTCAACAAAACTTGGCCCATCATCCAGCCTCATCTGAGAGTCACTGCACCTCCCAACAAAATTCCCTGCACTGCCCTAGATACTGTACCTATTAGAATTACAGGTAAGTGTCTTCTGATTTCTACAGAAGGATCTCAACTTACTTATGAGAGTTGGTTTAGGGTAAGTGAGGAGAGAGCAAGGCACGTGTGAAGGGAGATGGCACAGTATGAAGAAGTACCATGCTACCTCATCATTAAGTATCCATAATGGTTAGTACTGGTGATGGTGTTGGTACTCATCATGGGTGTGTGTAGGTGAAGTGTTTATGAATTCGATGTGTGTGGGTGTGAATGTTTTCCTGCTTGTCTGTGTGCATGAATGAGAACCCACACGCAAGAATAAATAAACCATAATCTTTGCTTTCAGAGTTCTAAGTAAGTATCAGGAACATGAAAATATCCATCATTAATTAATGTAATAATTGATGTAATGTGACATTAAATAATGTTAATGTAAACTATGCACTCTTCTCTGTGCTGTCCGATCACAGGTTAAAGTTGCTCACTGAACAGACTTTGCTTCCGAAAATACAAGTTGGGAAAAAATTAAACCAAATAACACTATTCTTTAAATTCTTTATTTCATATGCCCAATTCAGTGATATTACAATATGTTTATCATACATGCAATCACCCTTTTTATAGATTTAAAATATTAAATGTTGAAAGAATATTATGAATTATAATCAGAATTTACAACAAGGCACTTAAAGAGTCAAAAGACTTTAAGAATTACATTAAATTCCAAGCACAAATATAAAACAATAAAGGACATTGGTGATGTTGATATTCAGACTGTTGGCCCCATCTTAATTTCTCTGCTCCCCTCCCACTTAGAATCTAACAAACTATTCATTATAAATTGAAATTATAGAATTCTTAGAAAGTAACTGGATGACAAGTTATATGATTCTCTTTACAAATACAATCTGCTTTTCAGCAACCTGTAAGCCATTGAAAAAGTAACTCCATATCCTATAAAGAAAGCCAAAGCACGATTTGGCTGGGGAAGGGGTGTTAAATACGCGATTGTGTGGTAGATCCGTGCTCCAACAAAGAGTCTGAAGTGCAGGAGGGCTGTAGAAAGATCTGGACCACTCAAGGAATACAGAAGGCCAATGCCAAGAAATGGCACAATATTTTCAAGGTCATTCAGGTGAGCTCTGTGGGAAAAGATGATTAGCAAAACACTGACTTCAAAATCAGTAGAAATAGGTTCATTTTCCCTTTCTTCTAAAACTAATGTTAGTTGATCTTAAAATGCAGATTTATTTCACTTTTTTTCAAATTGTCTTCCTTCTTCAACCACTTAGCTTTTATTTTAAATATCTCATTATTTTTGTTTCTATCTTTAGTGTATTTCAACATATAACAAAGAAGGCACTTTGCACGCTCAGGCATATCAAAACTGCTGCATCTATTGTCATAAAACTACTTCAGTTTTTAGATATGAAATACTTGCTCTTCCGAGATTCATACAATAGCAATTCAAGATTCTTCTTAAAACACTTCTTTCCAAAAGAAGAAAATCCTTTTGGTTATAATCTTTCGTAAGGCTCCTCCATCACTTCTGCCAATCTACAAAATCATTACTCAGCCAATCCTTGCTCATCCACCCAAACTACTAGGTTGTCAACAATTAATTTACCATTTCAATACTAAGAATCTTATGCCCTCAACTTCCAAACAACAGAATACATAAGTAGCCTTTCAAATATGGGGAAAATCTTAGCCAATGTATCCTCAAATTATAAAAAGAATTACTGAAGTGAAGAAGCAAAGTACAAAGAATACACAAAAATGATAGACAATATAGAAAGATATGTTTCTTAAATTCTATCTTTATATACCATAGCTAGAAGAAGACAAAAATCATGGTTTAACTACAAGTTTTCCTCTGATTTATGGCACCCTGCGTTTCTCTGACTAGGAATGAGAATAGAAGGTGCATTTATTATTGGCTTGATTTTTTTGAAGTGCTTAATTTTAAAATCTAATGTCCCTGTTTAAGTTTCCAGAACTAAAATTGTTTTAGAATCTAGACTAGGAGTTGAGATTTTTGATAGAGCTTTATCAGCTACTGATAGGCGTTTCAAAATGAAAAAAAAATTGTCTTATGTCACTCTTTTTTCTTTTACCAAAAAAATTATTACATATCCCCTGCTCAGCAATCACCATCATCTCCCACCTCTTTTCCTTTCTCCTGTTTCCCATAGCTTGCCTGACAAAGAGGGTGACAACATGAAGGTTGAAGAAGATGATAATAACCTAGATAAGTAATAGTTTTGAAAACTTTAAATAAAGAATGACCTGTTCCTGGGGCACCTGGGTGGCTCAGTGGTTGAGCGTCTGCCTTCAGCTCAGGTCATGAGCCCAGGGTCCTGGGATCGAGTTCCGTATTGGGCTCCTGGCAGAGAGCCTACTTCTCCCTCTGCCTATGTCTCTGCCTCTCTCCCTGTGTCTCTCATGAATAAATAATTTTTTAAAAAAGGCCTGTTCCTAAATAAAAGCAAAGACAGAATGGTATGAGTGTTCCTGTCCCTTCTCTTTCATGGAACAGGCTACTGATAGCAAGGCGGATGAGAAGGGGCAGGAATACTATTTCCTATTTAGGAAGGATCCACTTCAATTATATGAAGGCTATTTGGTTTGGTCCTTTGAATTCTCCTGCCGTGCCACAGATATAGCTTCACCTCCAATGTTGGCCATGTTAGTTTTCTCCCCCACAGCTTTCTGAAAGGTAAGACATTCTAAAGTTGGGGAAGAAGTTTTAAAAGGGAGACTCCATGGAAAACAATGTCTACTTCTAAGCCTTCTAAAACTTCTAAGTTGGGGAAGGAGTTTTAAAAGGGAGACCCCATGGAATACAATGTCTACTTAAGCAATTGGCAAATAGAATACAGTTTTAAAACAGAGAAGAAAGTCTAGGACAATAAGCGGTAATGGGTTTCACTGGGGGTAGAGGGAAGGAAGGTCAGAGAAGGGCTTCTTTGGACAGTATTAGTCCCTCCATTTTTTTCTGGCCTCCCTATATCTTATTTCCCTTCTTCAATTTGCCTTTCCTGTCTTCAGCCTTCCAAATGTTCTTACAGATAACACTGCTCATTGTCCTAGAAATTGTCTGTTTTCAACAGACGCTCACACTCAATGCTAACTCATGCCATTTTACATGCTGCTCTTTTTAGACCCTGGCCCAGGCATACACATACCGAGCTCTACCAGTGAGCACTTGCTATGTAGTTCAGTATCACCTTTCCATTGGAATCCTTTCTCTGATTGAACAACACAGCTTACCTTATAGGGGCAGCTTTTTTCATCTTCCTGTCCTTTCTAGATGGCTACCAAAATCTATCAGTAGGTAGATGTCTTCATGACCACTTTCTATCTGGTCTGTCCCCTTCCCTCCATCATGACCCCTGTTCCCATTTTCTTTTCTCCTTTGGACAGATGCCCCTAGGTATAGCCTTGCTCTATGGCTGACCTTCACACAGTCTTACTCTGTGCTCATGATGCTCCAGTCACACCTTCTTCCCTCAGATCAGAACCACTTGGATTTCAGCATCACCCATCTGACCTGGACCTTATCTCAACCAAAGCTCTTCACACTCAGAATATAGCAGTGTGCTCAAATTCCCACAAAGAAATTATCCCAAATTGACATGATCACTCTTCTCTTCCTCTTCCCAAATCCTAATATCCTTCAGGCTCTTCCTCCATCCAATATTCCTGAATCCTTTAGGAACTTATACCTTGTACCCCACAACTTAACATCTAATAAGAGGCTGCTTTATATCATTCTCTAATTACTACATGTGTGTTGGCCTTATTTTCATGGTAAAAATTATAAATCCCTCCAGAGCAGGAATCCAGTCTTAAAGCTCTTTTATCATATCCTAATATCCTAACAGAAGTGACATCAATGAACACACAACAATCTCTCAATGAATGTTTTATTCATGCACTGGGTCCAGAAGGGAAGCCATCTAGTTCAACTCCTAGCCTAAGCTTCAGTCCCTTGAAAGAATCCCCAGTAAGCATCACCTAAATTCCATCACTCAGTGAAAAGGTATTTTCTACCTCAGAAGGTAGTATGTTCTACACATCTCTCCTTTCCCTGTATACCAAACCGAAGCCTTCGTTCTTTCCCTTTTGAAAAGTTCCCTGTATTTTTCCAGCTGCCCTAATTACCTTACAATTTTCTTTCATCTAGTTGTAACAAATGTATATATGATCTCAAATTCTTTCTAGAACCTCGTGAGATAGGATTAAATAGATACATACGTAAAATGTTTTCTAATCATCACTGGTTTCATCTGCCCAAAGCACTGAGTCGCTGACCTATAAGTCACTTATCTTGACATTTCCACAAATATTCCTTTGTTTTTAATTATTTTTCCCACATGTTTATGTATTAATTTTCTCATGATTGCATATCTTCATTCATGGCCCCATTTCATCCCTGCCATTGGCATATACTAATAGAAATAGCTTCACATGTGGAAGTAGTGTAAAAAAAATCCAGGTTAAAAATGAGATGGGGGAGATTCTGGAAACACTTTATCTGTAAAGTTTCACCGAAAGTAAACTGTTCTTAGAAAGTTTTTGATGGGGTCCATAAGGTCTCAAACAATACAACTGGAAACTGGACAACCCTCTTTCTCGGAGACTTTCTTCTGTTGCCACACTGAAAAGCCAGCATCTGATCACCAGGGGGCGCTATGCACACAGTCGCTGCACCTCTTCAAGGACACTGATTCCTTTCAGAACCAAGGTCATTTGTTCACAACCTGACTAGAAGATCAGGTTCAATAATGGTTTGCTCCTCTAGAAGTACAGTCTTATGGGTATGGCAAGGAGGGGGAGGCTGGAAGGGGAGAATGAGGAAGAATCTAAAATCTCAAAATAAAATCTATTTTGTTAAGCTTTCACACATGACGCTTGGATCTTCCCTCCAAACCCACTAGTGCTAACGAGTGTCTAATTATTATCACTCTCAAGTCCTGGGCAACGTTATCAGCATAAGGTCATGATTAGCATCATGTATGTGATTACCCGCTCTAGAAGGGATCTACAAAAAGGTAAACACAAAGTTTTAAACTGCTTAATGTCTCTTTGGTGGTTTTGGTAATTCCACAAAGCTGTACTCACCCTTTTCTACTGTTTAATCTCTTTCATAATAACACAATTTTCTGATACTGTTTGAAATTTTCGCATTAATTCTTTGTCCTGAAACTATTTTATTTTAAATCCACGTTCTTGTTGGTCCATTTTTAAGACTAGCTGATTTACTCAGTAGGACTGCTAACTTAACAAATATATAACTAAGAGAAGCAGAAGTTAACATTTTATTCAAACTACCTAGCACAGACTTTACTCTTAGAAGAAAAACATTCCGTTTAATAAATGACTTGGTCAGTGGAATTCATGTAACTGGAGGCACAAAAAGAAAAAAAAATAAAGGAAAAATATGGAACTTATAGAATGCCATCAAAAAGATGAATATCTTTATTTCAGAGGTCCCAGAAGTAGAAGAGAGTGAAAAGGGGGCAGAAAGCTAAACCCAAAAATAATGGCTAAAAACTTCCCAATCCAGAGAAAGAAATAGACATCCAGATGTAGGAACCTCAGATGTACCAAAAAATATGAATCCACACAGACACACCGAGGCATATTATAATTAAATTACCAAAAGTTAAAGAGAGGGAAAATTTTAAAAGCAGCAGGAGAAAAGTAGCTTGTCTTATGCAAAGGAACCCCATAAGACTACCAGCATACTTTTAATCAGAAACTACAGGCAGAAGGGAGTGGGATGGGACTCTTTTTAAGAGTCTTAAAAATATATCTTCATGGCTCTTTAATTGTTTATCTCTTTTTTCCTCAGTTTCCCTCTTTGCCATTAACTTGTCTTCTATGTCACTCACTCGTTCTTCCACCTCGTTAACCCTCGTCGTTAGGACTTCTAGTTTGGATTGCATCTCATTCAGTTGATTTTTAATTTCTGCCTGATTGGATCTAATTAATAAAATAATAAATACCAAATATTTCACAAAGAATTCTCTACCTGGGGGGTGGGGCAAGATGGCAGGGGAGTAGGGTCCCCAAGTCACCTGTCCCCACCAACTTACCTAGATAACTTTCAAATCATCCTGAAAACCTACAAATT